AAAAAAAACTTTTTAGTTAAAAAATTTTAAATATTATAAAAAAAATATTTTACAATTTAAAGGATAATAATAATTATTATGCTATTAATAAGGATCATGAAACATGTCTTATCTTAATATTAAAAAAAACTTATTTACAAATTTTAACAAAAAATATTTTATTTTAAATAAATTTTAAATATAACAAAAATTTAAAAGATTTTTAATTAAAAAAATATATAGTAATTTCATTATATATATTGTTATAACAATTATATATTTTTAAAAAGTTAAAATTTTTATATTTAAAAAAGTTTTTTAAAATAATTATTATATATATTTTTTGAAATATTAAATTTATTATATATATATAATTTTTATTTGAAATGATATTTTTAAATTGAAATTATTTAATATTTAAAGACTAAGATATCATAAGATTGATTTATATATGTATATATTATTATAATAGCAGTTTGTTTAAATTAATAAAAATTCTATTTAAAAACAGATGAAATAAATTTAAAAGTTTAATTTTGAAGAATTTATTTTTTAAAAATAAAAATAGATCTTTAAATTAAAAATTAAAACATAATTTGAATATTTTTTATAAAGATTTTTATAATTCAAATCATTTAATTTAAGTGTTTTTTGAAATTTGTTTTTATTAAAACAATAAATAAATAAATAAATATTTTTTTAAAAAATATACATAGTTAATTTGTGAAATTTTCTATGTTAAACTATTTAAGAATTTTTTTTTGTTTTTAAAATTAAGAATTTTTTTTAAGAATTTTTGCTATTGTTAAAAAAATTATTTTAAAAAAAATAAAATATATTAAAAAAAGATTTTTTTTATTTTATTAATTTGATAATTTATTTAATATCTTTTTTAATTATAATTATAATTTTTTTTTTTTGAAAATTGAGTTAAATTATACTAGAAATTGCTTAAATATTATTTAATGTAATATTTGATTTGATTTAAAAATTTTTTCAATCTAAGTTAAATAGTTATTTCACAAACATGTTGATATTATTTTTTATACAATATGCAATATATTAAAAATATTTTTTTCAAATAATAACAATAAGAAAAAAAAATTTCTTTGATTGTTGTATACAAACCAAAATGTAGAATTATATAAAAAATTTTTTGGTTTAATTTTAATAATATTTTAAAAAATCAAGAATATATTGATAAATTTTAAAATTCAAAAAAATATTGGTATTTTATAAATTTAAGGTACGATAATAATTATTTTATTTTGGAATTTTTTAAGATTACGTAAGCGATTTTAAAATAAAGAGAATATGCGTCTAAAGAGGTAGTATTCGCAAGTGTTTCAGATGCTTGGGGTCAAACTTGATCATACATTTAGTACGTTTAAGAAAAATGTGTTTAAAGAAAGGGATCTACATTAAAGAAAAAGATAAGATGTTGGGATGTTAAAAAAAAAACGGTGTAACTGTTCATCATTTTGTTTTCATATGCAGTGCAGGCCATGATGTTAAAACTTCCTTCGTCTTGTAAACATTCACAACAAATTCTATCTAATCGAAATTTCATTACTTGCTCGTTTATCTTCCAAAACTTCTCTTTTCGAAATGTGAAGAACGGATGGAAAAATTCGAAAGGAAATCTTTATATTAGCGTAACGAATAAAAGAGCCTATAATCATGCATCGAAACTAAAGATCAAAAAAACATCAAGTTTTGCATTTTTAAACAATAAATTGTCAAACAATGTTGTTTCATCATATAATTACGCGACCGATGCGTCCCTCGCATCTCTGAAAAATTTTTATCCGCCGACCGAGCGTGATGACGCCAACGAAAAACCCATATTTATCACCACGCCTATATTCTATGTAAATGCGAGTAAGAATCAACTTAATTCTCGATAAATGATGAGTCCAGAAGACACCAATTTTCCTTTTCTAACTTAATAATGATAAATAAAAGCACCTCACATAGGACACCTATATTCAGCAGTGATAGCGGATAGTCTTAAAAGATATTATGAGCTAAAAGGTAAAGAAGTTGT